TGAAACAATAGGTGGCACGGTAATATTATACTTACCAAGAGAAAGACACTTTATCATAGTGTCGTTATTGCCGGCGTTGTCCATCACGAAATAACCAAGTTTAGAGGCAAATCCCCAGTCATCAATTACATCCATAATAGCCACAGCAAGGTGAGACCCATCATGATCACCATCTATATCTTTCAAAGCCAATGTGTGGTGTTCTAATTGGCAGTCTTCTGTGACATAGTGAGCAACTACGCCTAGGATTGCTAACGAGTTGGGGGAAGTCCAGAGATCGCAGCTAATATAGATCCTTGACTTTGCTGACTGGATGCGCTGCTTGACCTTTTCCTTTTGGTCTTCGTACTGCCGCAGTATCCATCTCTTGATGGTCTGGTGTGTATTTGGAAGCCATGTATCGATGTCAGAATTGATATAGGCTAATAGGGCTCGAAATTCCGGGCATTCCACAAGCCGAAACGGAAGAGAGCAGGCCGTAACGAACCGAACGTACAGCACTTCCAGCTGATCGGGCTCGATGGAGTCTCCATATTGATCGTTGAGACGACGGCGTTTTCGGGCGCTCTCTTCCGCTGTTACACGAGCTTGCTCGATAATTGTTCGTATACTCCGGACTTTGGCTGTTCGTAGAGCACCTTTTGGGAGACCATGGCCATCCGGGGGAGGGTCAGTCAAGTGCTTGGCGGGCGCCGCAGTGCCTCCCGAGCAGGAGTACGTTTTATCGCAATACTTGCAGCGCCATTCCTCCTTACCCGACCGTTGACTGTAATATCTAGTTTCGATGTCCCAGTCCGGCATATGGGAGAAGACCCATGACGTTCTTGGTTTGGGGGTGGAGGTCGTAGACAGTGTGTCGGGTCGCCACGACTGGCATTGAGAAGTTTGGCTGTTGTCTTGATCCTGCAAGTGTGAGCTAGACTGTGCGACGGCGCCGTCAGATGTCGCTGAACCACTTTGTTGGGGCGGTAGAGTAAAACATAGGCGTTGTTGGTGCATTAGAACAAGAATATAGAGGTACAATTATATGCGGCTTGTTATGTCGAAGGTATCATGAGAAATGCACTAAAACCAGTAAAGAAAGTCTGGCTAAGATGGTGTTAAAAGCCAACTCGGTAATAAAACACGTACGCGTTCGTTTGCTACCTTTATTTCCTTTTTTGTGTTATGACACTATTTGTTTAGTAGCGTCATTAGCATGGCCAAACAAGAATCTATCACGACCTGCTAGATCGTACAATGGTCTATCAGTCACAATAGTTATGATATCGAAACAGTTGCTATGCAACGCGTTTGCTTGCCAGCTGGCAAAGGAAAGCTACCAGCTGGCAGGACCATAACAATCACGTATATAAACAGAGAAGTGAACCGTAGAAGAGGAGAAGGATTCTTTCCTCTTCAAGTTTGTTATCTTCTTTCTATCTTATATATAGAATAGTTAATAATAGCATTGTGTTTGGCGAACTCTTCCCTAGATGCCCAAACAGCTACGTGATAGAATCTTGGGACCTACCCGATAGAACGGTGACAGTTCCTTTGCAAAAATATCTACCAATATAAACAATATATTAGCAATACAAAGAACTGCATATTGTATTGTGACAATATAGCAGCTTGTGTATTATATTGTCACAATATGTAAAAGTGCATATTATATCGTATGTATTGCCGTATATTGTTTTATTGTCATATTATTTACCACACTGGTTAGCAACGCAGCATTTAGAGTCAAAGTCAGAGGTGGTGCTTTGTTAGCGCCCGTCATTCCCTCTACTTGTACGAGTAGTTTATGGCGACTTGCAAAATGGACCTGCTAGAGCTGTCTATTTAAGTACAAGGCAAACCTATGTCTCCCTTACAAGAATAGCAATATATTAATTTCCTCATATAATAACTTACAGTATCTAGAATAACAACCGCCCTTAATATGAAATCCGCCGCTGGCGTTCTGTTTCTTGCGCCGGCTCTTGTCCTCGCCGCTGTACTGAAGCATCCCCCTCCCCCCCCGGGTCTTTATAGAGGCGTATGCAGATTTGTTTTATGTAATGCCACTGTTGGTATACTAACGATGCAAATAGACCTGCCAGAACCATAACGGTCGTTTGCAATGCCAGGGTAGATTTCTTGATGGCAGCCAATTCGGCCGAACTTGCACCGATGGAAAGTGCGATGAAGACCACAAAAGCTGGGGTTGTAGTAGGTCCAACAGCTTCCAACTAAAACACAGGAATAATTACTAATTATGTTCCAGACCTTAGTACGAATGTTGAGTAGGTGCCTTCGCTTCATATTTTTCGGATTTATGAAATGACTACTAACTTTTCGACAACAGCCCATATCGCGTAGTCTGCCCTGGTGCCACGTAGGTGGTCTGTTCTATGTAGTAGAAGAGTTGCAGTCCAAGAGCAGTAGTAACAAAGAGGTGGTTAAGCGGTCGTTAAGGAGTTATCCTCAATTAATAAGTAATTGCTTAGATTGATCACTGAAGATCTGTCCTAGGCCTACCTGACTATCTACGGTTTATATACTAGACCATCTCTTCGCGATTGCTAGGATCGCTAGCGATCCTAGCTATCCTTTTCCTACGGGTCGCCATGATCGCTGACGACCCAGGCGATCCACGCAGTCACGTAACCGCGGGGTCCTGTGGTGACATAAGAAGGCATCTTCCAAGCGCCAGGCCCGTTGGGCCGGCCGTTATGTCACGTTCGTAACATGTACCTCTTCTTGGTGGGCAGGTATTTGCGCCGAACGCGGAAGACCGGTTGCTTGACACAGCACCCATACCTGGCAGACCTCTGTGAAGATGACCCTAGTAAGGGTGGTATAGAATGAAAGTCCACGGCCCATTGTGCTTATTGCTACTCCTTTTTTTTCTATCTTAACTATAGTCTAACTTGTATAAATATGCAAAGACTTTCGGCAAGGTGAGACAGACATGAGAGAGCTACTGAGTCTTCTCTTTAGATCTGCTTATAATTGTCTCATACTCAGAAAACGTCTCAACTCCCTTGGGGAAGCCGTTCCACTGCAAGTTTTGCTCATCCATCAAACGGCTGCGAATTTTCGTAACTTGTTTCCAAGACGGAAGATTGGTCATGCTTTCGTGCCAAGCGTGGACATGCGGCACTCCATCCCAGATTTCTTCCCACGATAACATCAACACCTCGGTGAGTCGGTCATTCCATGGCACAAATGCCATGTCTGCAAACGTCATTTTATCGCCAACTAGCCATTGCGCGGCGGTTGATTTTGCGGCTAACACGCCCTCTAGAACGCCCAGAATGCGACGAATCTCTTTCGAGTATCTCTCAAGAGCAGACGAAACCTTCTCGGCGTGCAAATGCTGAAACCAACCGCATTGACCGTAGTAAGGGCCTTGGCCGCTCATTTGGAAATGTAACCATTGGTTGCATTTGTGTTTTTCTTCGAGTGTCCCGTATGATAGGTTCTTGCGTTGGTCATACTGCTTGACCAAATACTGATAAATTGCGCCTGATTCCCACAGAGTAAGACCAGTATTCGGGTCCTGTATGGCTGGCACTCGACCGTTAGGGTTAATATCTATGAAAGGGCGTTTCTTCACGTCATCGAAACGAAATGACTCGATTTCATAAGCTACCCCAAGCTCCTCTAAAAGGAAAATGACCTAGACTCCGTCAGTACGCACACACAGTAGATTAGGCTTGAAGATACGCGTTAGCCTTTACTCACTTTCCATGGGTTAGGGCCCGGGGCTAGTAAGCATTAGCGTACTTGATATTTGGCCGTATCTACAGTCAGAGACGTACGGGTAAGCCACACTTTTATTGGCTTCATTAGACTTGCTTCCGTGCCCTTGACGTATACAAAGGTATGTCGTATATCGTATATTAAGGTAATTCCACAAGAAATGTACAGTAGCAATTAATGTTATGCTGCAATTATAGGAACAAGAAAATTCGTCATGAGAGGCAAAGCTTTGTAATAACCAACGTTTGGAGCCTGGCAATTCTACGCGCCTTCCGTTCCCCCCGATTCCAAGGCCCTAATTGGCCCCACATGTAGTGGTGGATTACGTTAGCAATACGTAGCCAATGCCCACCATCACAATTGGATCACTCAGCAACCGACCAGCAAAGTAATCTTACAGTTGCTATTGCGGTAAAGGAGTCTACGGGTATAGTACAGTACTGTACTATCGATATCGGTACAGTACCACTACTGTAAGGCCAAAATTGATGAGCGACTATGTAGGGCAGCTTCTTCCACGTAACTAGGAAACAATCCCCACACGGACAGTTCAAGCAGGGTCAACGTCATCCCTTTTAAACTTGAACACAGCTCTTGCACTGTCCTCTACACTGCCCATCAACAGTATTTTAAATGAAGTTTACAACTGCCGCCATTATTCTCGCCAGAATTAAGGCTGCAGCCCTCTTCACTTGCGCTATCGGTTAATATGGATCGTGCTCCTATGATTGTGGTGATGGAACGACTTCTCGATGTGCCATCAAATGTAATTATGATGCCTTGAACGTTATATGCGCCTGCCCAACTTTCTACGGCAGCAACGTCGACTGGGTATACAACGGTCGCCATGACTGTATCAGCAAGGGCCAATACGATGGTCGCAACAAGTGTGATAACCCTAACCCGTCCGGTTAAGGTGTTAATATTTGTTATATAAGACAAGTAGTTTTTCCTGCCCAGGCGCTCGAGTTAACGCGTGAACTTCGGCTAAGATGGTTATTTGGGATACGTATTCATAAGCATGACTAACCATCAACTGAGAACCATGACTTGCTATAGTATAATACAATTAACCCCTAGTTGGATTTTACCGCAGGATTGATCACCCGTATACTAGTTCACATAAGTTTCTGTAGCAGAAAACCCTAGAGCCTTTAATACTATCAATGAGTATACTGTCATAATGGCGCCAAATAAAGATTACATCTAATTATTTATACAACAAGAACTTTAGATCAGCGCTGCCCTCAAATCAAACAAATCAAATCCGGGCCTATATTTGTTTGTTTGATATATTTTGAAGCAATATTTGTTTGTTTGAAATATTTGATCAAATATTTGAAATGCTGACTACTTGTTCATGCCACCAACGCTGCTGTCTGCTCCCCGGCACCAGACCACTGACCCCAGCTTCACAGCACCATGTCTCGTCCAGTTTTTGAGGCACTGGAGTGCCTCCAGCGTCGTTGGGCTCATCGAAAATCTTTGTGATGTCAAGGACAACTTTGCCAGACTGAACGACCTTTCGCAATCAGTAGCAATTGCTGGTATCGCAAACACATCCAGCGCAAGTTGACTGAGCGCAGGGAACGAAGCTTGATGTGTCAGCCACCAGCTGATCGGGTCATCAGTATCCTGAGTCTCCATTCGCATATACCTGTCAAGCTCGCTGCCTGTCGTCGCCGCTTTACTCGTTCTACTCTTCACCCACTGTCTGAACTCACTCGCTTCGCCGCGCTTGTCGGCTGTTACCAACGCCCTTACCACGCCTGTAGTGGCCGGCTTATCAGTAGCATGAGGTACCAAGCGACGGTACCACTTATCAAAGTAATTAGAGAGACCGGTCTTGGCATCTCTCACCTATACAAGCTGCTCTTCCGTCGCCTAATTTGTCTCCAAGTATCTAAATCCAAGCCCAGGATGTAGAATAATCGCCGCTGCGAACAACGGAGACTCTCCTAGTTTAATATAGTATTCGTTCAGCTTCTGCTATGTATTAGTAATACATAGCTTCAGGTAGCAGCGATGATCGCCCTATATGTCTGCCGCCTTAGACATACTCGCTGGTTTGCCTGACCAAGTGTATGTGTCCGGAATATGTTCCGGTGGTGCTCTTTCCAGTCGCTGCTGCGATGGTAGATCAATTTCACAGTCATCAAAGCGAGCTGGCAGTTGACGTGCACGACTTGGGCGTCCTTGAATAGTTTCAACCGCTTGCCCAGTGTTTTCCTCCATTGCATCCTCTGAGGTATCGCTGTAGAAGGCTTTCCAGTCCTCCAGGTGTTCTAACAAGTACTCAATACCTGTCAATACTTCCTATAGATATCTATGACTATCCCCTTTGCCCTAGCCTTGTGTTCGCATCGTCTGCAGGTAAAAAGGCTCGAGAATGTGCTTGATCTCTCCGAGCAATCGCCAGTTATTAATATTTAGCACATCTTCGAGAGGCAGGTTTCCTTCCACTTCAAGGTATACTATAAATACCCTTATATTATTCTGCTTGAGTATAGCTCGAGAGATTATTAAATATATAGAATTCCACCTTATGTTATTATGTATTATTACTTCAAGCTCTGTGGTTGACTCGAATACTAGCTGAAAGCCTTCTGATTCATCATTTTCACGTGCCGCTCGCTTGAATAGCTCGCTTTGCGGGGATGATCTTATGAACTTGACTATATTATGGAGCTTTCCGACCGGTCCTCTCTTTCTCTAATGCCTCAGGTCCTCTTCCTGGCGGCTAAGGAGAGCAAAAACCTGTGATTTAGCTTCAAAAGCCTTAAAGTCTTCACTGTAAAGAAACGCACGTGTAACCAAGTTCAAAATATGACCATAGCAGCGCATGCGCCTAGCACGTACGTCTGTAGGCTTCAGCTCCGGGTTGATGTTTCGGTAGAAGCTTTGAAGGCATTTGTCATTGGTCGTGGCGTTATCGGATATAATAACTCCCACCTAGCTCTCTATTTCCCATTCTGTGGCAACTTTCAGGAGAGTAGTAGCTAAATTAGTGCCACTATGGCATCCTAGCTGATGGCGTAAACCAAGCAAGCGTGTCTGATGGTTGCCGACACGATCGAGAAAGTGGGATGTAACAGCCATAATAGCATAACGATTAGGGGATATCCAAAGATAGAATCCTAAATGGATTTTCGTGACTGCGTCACAAAGCTCTTGTTAGATAATACGCTTCTTGGTGTCGTAGATGTTGTATAGTTAGCGACTCATCGATTATCTGCTCCATAGCACCTGATCAGCGACTTATGGATCGAGTTGCAAGAGAAGCTGCTAAAAGTACAGGTTTATGAAGACAGAAAATGGTAAATCTGCATTAATAATAAGTCCTACACCAAGCTCACGTACGGCGTTAATCTTGGCTTTCGGCACAGCACTAAAGTGTAAACGAGGTCATTTAGCTCGATCAGAGTCGTCAGTCGATAGGTCGCTTTCAGTAGTAGGACTACCTTCAAAGATCCTATGAATTCTATTTTGTAAGATCTTACGTCCGCGCGCACCAAATAGTAGCAGGCATACTTGCAAAGGTGATCGGCAGAAGATGTAGTCGCGCTTGCTGCGAAGAATACTGGCTGACTCTTTGCATTGCAAAGATGACAAACCCAGTAACCAGCTAACGGAGTGTCGCTGGCGTCAAGCTCAACGACGAAGAGCCCATGCTGTTTAATCCAGCTCTTCCTGCCTTTAGAGCCTTTCCGAGAGAAGGATTCCTCTAAGACATATCGCTTATTTCTCCATACGGCGAGAGGCAGATCTCTAACTGCGGCACTCTCAGGAAATGCTGTTACAACACTTGATTCGAACTGGCTGCATAAGGTTTTAGGGGATTTAAGGATTGCAAAAGCTGACGGCGCTGGCGGAGCGTCCATTTTGGTACAGTTAGCTTGTTGTAGGCGAAGATATAGATGCCCTTAGATGCAGTAAACAAACCCGCGACGCGTTTCTTCAAGTAACGACGCGACATGGGCCTTATGTTAAAGGTATACCTCTTTATGCGATAATTTTAGGAGGTAATTTAAGTATCTCTCTACCAGAGGCTTGATTGATTGATTGATTTTGTTTGTTTGTTTGTTTGTATATTAACGTCTATATAGCGCTACAGAGTAGCATAAGACGTGTAGAGGAGGGGCTAACATACAGCAGTTCCACAGATCGACGAGCCACCGTAGGTGGTTCCAGCCGCGCACGTGAGTGCGCGACGCCAATGCCTTCGGGTCCACCCCGTTGGTCGCCGCGTCCTGTCCTGCCTCCTCCCTCAACCACAGTTTCACGCCCGAAGGCTATCGTTATGTAGCTCCTTACCCGACTCGGGATCCAGAGGATGCTTCAGCTAGCCTCGGCAAGCTGATCATCTGTTTTCATCTGGTTTCTTGATGGGGACCAGTCCACCCTGTTGTCGATGGGTGTCTTTCCCAAGCAAAATGTTTATCTATCTAAGGTAGGGAAGGTCGTGCGGACCGAAACAAAGGAAAAGTAAATAAAGGGTAAACAAAGGGAATGCCTCTCCGTCCTCCGATGACGCGAAGGGGGCAGGCTATCTATAAGACTAGTAGGCACGGCAGATACAATTAAAATATACCTCGGCGATACGAAGAAACACCTTATACTATTAACAAAGATACCTCGAGATTGCCTTTTCGGGCTCGGGTGTAAGCCGAGCTCGAAGGGCAGGAGGGATCTTACAGCAGTAGAAGATATATATTAGGGTCTTCACTAGCCCACAGGGACATTCAAGTATCGTGTTGTGATAGTGAAACAGTTCGTGGTACAAAGCGAAGTCGCCATGGTTAGTACGTGCTGCCAGCAGGAAGCAGAGTTGTTTTCTAGGAACCTCGAGCTCAGGCAGCTTTGAGAGGTCAGCCTTGATATTTGGTGTTTGCCTCTGGTAAGTAGCTTTCTCTATACTATTCTACTAGTCGAGAAAATACTAGCGGGGGAGCTGCCGAACTACTCTATGTGTCTGCGAGATGGATAGGGCTATCATGCGGACTAGGAGAGATACGCCCTCCTTTGCTAGTTTGTCCGCTTTTTCGTTTCCAGGTATATCCTTGTGCCTGGGTGTCCACCGGACCGTGATACGCCCCGGGTATTTGTCTCCTAAGGCCTGGATTTTAAGAAAGTAGTCTTGAGACGAGGTAGGGGCAGTGCGGCTAATACCTCGAACAACAGCAAGATTATCTATACAGATGGTGATCGGCAAGTTGTCGGAGTTGTCTTTTAAGATAGCTTTCAGGCAGTAGAAGGCTCATGTGACTTATGAATTAAACACTTCGAGTGTGCCTAGCTGTTATGCTTTCTGTTTGAGGATTCTGTCTTTGTAGTATACAACAAAGCCATACCCCGCGCTGCTATTTTCTAACTTGGAGCCGTCAGAGTAGATAATATACCCCGATGGCTTTATATTTAACCACTGCAGGTGGGCTACTGTGGCTTGGTCCTTGCCGATTTGTTCGTCGTGGACTTGGATGTTCGTCGAGTATCGTCGAGGGATAAGTACGACTTCTTGATAGTCTTTATATTCTTGTGTAGTGTGCACTAACCGTACCCGCCTCGAGGTTACAGCGGCGCTAGCATCCGGGTTGTTACTCAAGATATCTCGTCGAGCGGCGTGGTCTAGTCTTCGTCGTAGAGGGTGCTTTCTGTCGAGAGTGGCAAGGCGTAGGGAGACCCGCGAGCGTATACTTTTAACGAGAAGCTCAGCAGGGAGTATTCCTGCTTCCTTCCAAAGGTATTCTTTAGGTGTTGTTTTCCAAACAGGCAAGATCATGCGGCAGGTATTGTTTAGACTGATCTGTATTTTCTACAAGCAAGTCCACTTAATCTAGTAATATGTTAAGTACCAGTTAAGGGGGGGTCTTGTTATATCTATGCCTTAATCCTATATAGAATCGTTGGTAGTACCACTGTCTGCACGGCGTGCCTGGCAGCCGAGGGTCGTATTCCACGGACTGTGTTCCTAAGCCCTTTGAGGAAACTTATAAGCCTGTCTGCTTTCTGTCTCTAATGCTGTATATGCGCTTTGAAGAATAGCGTCTTGTCGAGGTATACTCCTAGCCACCTTATCGAGTTTAAGACCGCAATTGTCCTCTCTCCATGCTGGATGTCAGGGATCTCTTCTCTTCGCCGATTGATTGATTTTATTTACGTCTATCTGGCGCTCTAGGGTAGCATAAGACGTGTGGCCGATAGGTGGCCGATAGGTAATACGAGACGAAGACCGGGATCCCGCGTAGGCGGCGCCAGCCGCCACGAAAAGTGACGACGCCGAGCCGAGGGCCCACCCCTTAGGATTCCTTTGCTCCATGTCTCCTCCTTAAACAAACCACAGTAACACGATAATTTTCCAACTCTTTAGCCGACGCGGGATCCAGAGAGGGCTCTAGGAGCCCCTATTGACTTCTGGCTTCTTAATTGGGGGCCAGTGCACCCTGTGGTTAGTGGGTGTCTTTCCCAAGCAAGTTTTCTATCTAGGTAGGGGATGGCCGGTCAGCCAATAAAGGGGAAGTGTATGAAAATAAAGGGAAGCTTATTAGGGAGGTGTTGATGAGCGTAACACTGCCGAGCGGTTGGGTGGAGGTATTACTACCTATATGTGCAGATTCTATTAAAGTACACGTCCGCGATTCGACAGAACACCTTGAACTGCGAGCCGAGAAAGCGACCGATAGACTTCGATGCATCGGGTGCGAGCCGAGCTCGAAAGCCTAGAAGGACCTTTCGGCAGTAGAACAAGTATATTAGAGTCTTCTCGTGGCCGCATGGGCACTCTAGTGTAGCGTTGTCGTGATAGAAGCGCTGATAGTACGCGGCGAAGTCGCCGTGGTAAGACTATGCAGCGAGGAGATGTCGGAGTTGTCGTCGGGGGATATCGAGTTCTGGGAGCTTTGATAGGTTAGCAGTAAGTCTAAGAGACTGGTAGGTTCTCTTTTCCACCGATTCCAACAATGTGAGAAAGAGACAGGGGAGAAAAGCACGGATCTCGCGCAGTCGCTGCGAAATTGATAGTGCAAGATCTCGAAGAGGCCCTGCTGCCCCTTTCTTGGCTAGAGCATCTGCTGCTTCGTTACTAGGTATATCTTTATGTCCGGGGGTCCATCTAACTGATATTCTGCCTGGGAATTCATCTCTAATAGCTTGGAATGCGAGGAATTCAGCACGAGATGACATAGGGGCGGTGCCTCCGATGCCACGTACCACGGACGAGTTGTCAATACATACAGTAATCGGAGTGTTTGGGGTACAGTGCTTTATGGCTTGCCGGAGGCCGCGTAGAGCACCGGAGATCTCGGCGTCGAAGACCTCTCTAAAGCCGAGTTGCCGAGATCCTCTATCAATCTCGGTCCCATTCCTATAGACAATATAGCCATAACCTGCTTTATTGTCTTCGAGCTTCGAACCGTCCGAGTAAAAAATAAGCCAATAAGGGTTAGTGCAGAGCAAGAAGAGATATACTTGTATCTCCTCTTCCTTTGAGGCCGAGTTCAATATGGTGTGGATATTGTCATTAAAGCGTCTTGGGATAAGCGGGATGCTATCTATGTCTTCTTGTATCCTAGAAAGCCTGAAGAGCCTTATATAGCGCTGTGCAACGTTTCGACTAGCAGCGGGGTTTATTTCAAAGCGTATTCGGTGGTGGAGGTTTGCGAGTCGGATCCGAAGAGGGTGTTGGTCGTCTAACATGGCTATTCGAAGCGAGATGCGTGCACGAGTAGCCTTGATCTGATCCTCTGCAGCAGGTACGCCTGCCTCTTTCTAGAGGTAGATATTGGGCGTGGTCCTCTATACAGGGAGAATAGCTTTACAAGCAGTGTTAAGACATTTCTGTATAGCGTTGAGCTGAGTTTAGGAGAGATAAAGTGAGGAGCCCTTAATAGAAGGTGTAGGGTCGTCTGTGAGCCACGCTTCCATACCATACAGCATGATCGGTACGATGACTGTGAAGACGGCATGCCGTACTGCAGCCGGGGCAATACCAGATATGGTATTACTTAGACTACGCAGCAGATTTGCTACATTAGAGCCCTTCTGTCTCCAGTAGGTGATATGAGCCTTGAAGGAGAGCTTTCTATCCAGGAGTACCCCAAGCCATCTCATTAATGCTTCTGCAGTGCATACTTTACTATTATGGAGTACTTCTAGGCTGCTGTCGTTTTGTTTCCGGGAGAAATGCATAATTTCGGTCTTTGAGGGATCAAATGTAATAGCGGAAGAGTGGCTCCATTCGACCATTTGTTTGATAGCTTCGTTAGCCCTTTGAGTAGTCTCTGTCAGAGATTTTCAAATAAAAAGCATTGCAGTATCGTCAACATAGCCGTATCTTATGTCAGCACAATCTAAGGAATAGATAGCAACGATATACAAGAGATATAGTATAGGAGAGATTAGCGAGCCTTAGGGTAGGCTGTATGGTAATATAATAACTCCCGAGCGGCCTATTCCGAAATAGGCGTATGCCTTTCGGAGAGACATGAAGCTAAAGACCCATTTAACAAGGAACCTCGGCCATCCCTGGTCGCATAGTCGCTTGATTAGTCTATTACGCAGGACTGCATCGAAGGCACCCTTAGCGTCCATTGTAACTAGTGTAGCTACGAGTCGCTTCTTGAAGGCCTCGCTCTCGATGTCGAAGATCAGAGCTGACACAATATCAATAGCTGACCGTCTCGGCAAGGCACCCGTAAGCTCAGGCGGGATAATCTTGTACTTGATAGCTAGGAAAGCAAGACGACGTGCTATAGCACGTTCAAGCCCCTTTAATAGACATAGGAGCAGTGAGATTAGGCGCCAGGCAGTTGGGCTAGAGAGGTCGCGCTTATTAGGTTTAGGAATCATAACTACCTCCGCTGTACGGAAGATCTCAGGGTGGTATCCAAGGCGAAGGCACGAGCTATATAGGAGAGTTATTGCATCTCCTAAACTGGGCCATGCGGCGCGGAGCATTTTCGTTGTGATACCATCGGTCCCGGGAGTAGTGTTACCCGTTCGGAGCAGAGAGTCCTCTACCTCTCTTTTAGATAGCACATCTTCAAAGGGGATATGCTGGCTAGAGGTATCGCTTTCGAGGTCAAATTCAATATCCTCGTCTGCACTTCGAGTAGCAAGCTTTGCGGTTAGGAGTGCTTGGGCCCTCTCCTCGTCAGTTGTATATACCAGGTTGTTAATCTGGAGGGGGGGAGGTTCGAAGCGCGCCTTTGGCTTAATCCAACTTGTTATCTTAAAGATATCACTCTTATCTTTGATCCCCCCGAGGAAATCCTGGAAGCCCTTCTTTCTGGCCTTCTTGATCGCCCTTTGTAAGTCTCGTCTTGCTGTTTGCACTTCTAGGCCTGTTGGGTTCCTAGAAGCGATCTTGATAGCGCGGAGGGTGTCATGTGCTTCTTTACAGCCACCGTCCCACCAGGGTTTAAATTTTGGCCGTCGACCCGTTGCCTGGCGGCCTGCTGTTCTCATTGCGAGGTCCAGAATCCCGCAACAACTGTAACGGGCTAGGCCCGTGGAGGTCTCGGGTAGCCCTCGACCATCTGTCACGTAGCTGTCTAGATAGTACGAAAAAAGTTCGCTAAACGTAATGCTATTGTTGACTGTTCTATATATGAGATAGAAAAAAGACAACAAACTTGAAGGAGGACAAATCCCTTTCCTCCTTCCACAGTTCAATTCTCTATTTATATACAAAGTTGTTGTGGTTCTGCCAGCTGGCGGCTTTCCTTTGCCAGCTGGCAAACACTTGTTGTTGAAACTTCTCTATTGGCCGGCTAGCCAGCGAACACGTTGCGTAGCAACCATTTCGACATTATAACTGTCGTAAGTGTTGTAACCGATAGACCATAGAGCGATCCAGCAGGTCGTGACACCACCTGGGCAAGGGACCCATGTAAGTCATATAAGAAACTATTCCAGCTAGCTGGAATAGCCCCTTTTCGATCCCTTCTTCTTCATCTTCGGACACTCGTAGTAGTCGCTCAGTTAGTTGTCAATATACTCAGTTGAGACCGTTACAATAACGTTGCATGGGTTGATGAGGATTGGGTAGATCGATGGGTAACGGAGGTGGAAGCAGAAACACAAAAACAAAAGAGTAGCGAAGTGTAAAGTGATTATATTCAGAAAAATACATTATTATAAAAAGAGAGAAGCGAGCATATTTTACAGGCAACTCTTTTTAAAGGGTCAGAAAATACTATCGGTAGCTAAATATAGTAATCTAGTCCAACTGACAGTCCAACTAAGTGGCATCCATAACTGAACTGAGTGAGGCGTCACTCAACTGGATGGAGCGTCAACTGGACTGATTCTGTATCCAACTGACTCAGTTGGAGAGCTCAACCCACTCAGTTCAACTAGCAGTTTCACTGGTAGGTTCTGCGCCGACAGCCTCGCGAGCGTGCACCCACGTGTTTGCGGCGGTCTTTCGTTTTCGCGATAGTCGCTCACCGGAATCGCTAGCGCTTAAAAGCCCGATGCTGACGATGAACGATGAGGGTGGCTCGCTGGAAAACATGGTCTGTCTAGCTGATATGACGCGGCTACATTAAAGATGCGTACGAAACTCGGAAAGATGAATATGATAGGGAAAAACAATATTCCGACTTCCTTCATCTGGAATGCTTATTCCATACGTATGGAATAAAATTATCTCGTATGGAATATGGAATATCCCATACGGATTAACTAATCCATACACGTATGGATAGAAAGCCTGCAACTGTTCTACTACATAGGACAGACCCCTACGTAGTGCAAGCCACTTCGTTACAGTCCACTTACACACCATTCATCTACTACTAGGACAGTAACCTACGTAATGCTAAGCCACTTTGTTGTGGAATATTTTATAGTCAAGGATCCGAGTTCAATGTTTACTACCTATTCCTTTCACTGATTCTTATTCGACACCGCCTATCTTCATTCTCACCAAGACGTCATCCAATTTATTCTTGGGCGGCATCGGCAGTTCATAAGAGGCAATAATAGCCTTCGTTGCTGTAACAAGACAAGCCTCCAGCGATTTGAACCCATCCTTCCCGAGCCTCTCTAGGATTTCAACACCCCGATCAGTGCAAACTGTACCACAGTCCTTCAATGGTTCATCCACCGAACTCATGAGGGACTCTCTTTCGGGAAATCGCCTGTGCAGAATTTCCAAAATTGAAGACCAGGACCATTGCCCGCCAAATGTGAGTATGCGCTCATCTCTGACATCATCCAAGGCCAAGGCTCCGAGATGCACCAGCGCAGCATCCTCTGTATCAACAAACCACTGTGACTGAATAAGGTACGGAGCCACTGGAAGACCGCGTATAAGGGTCTCCAAAATGCCACAGTTGCTGGGATAGCCTAGATGTTCTGGAGCGATAAGGTCTCCAAACAGGATGGGTGGAATAACACTGTTGAAGACAAAGCTTGGCTTGTGCTTCCGCACCCATGCAAATCCTGCTTGCTCACCGGCTGCCTTCGCTGCACAATAGAGCTGCGCAGCTCGTTTAGCAAGGTCCTCACCCTCAAATGTGCGGGCCGCGGCGTCGATGGCGGCTTGGTTCCATGTACCGGTTGTAATCTCATAAGGAACACCGGGCTCTGGGAAGATGCACGCGCCAGAGGATGACGTCAGCACCACCCGCTTCACACTATACTCCTTGTGCGATGCTTCCAGGATACCTGTGACGCTCTTGATCGATTCAGCGACAGCGGCGTCGTTGTGGGGATCAAAGGTCATATTGGCGGCGATATGGAGTACACCATCAACTCCCTCAACAGCGCCGTCAAACGCGCCGTCAGCTGCTATATCAGAGACCTGGACCAGCGAGAAGTTTGGCCCAAAGAACGACAGCATCCACTCATTGGTTGCGATATCGCGTACGGTTCCTCGAACATGGTAGCCATGCTTGAGAAGTGTACGGGCAGTGATGCTTCCCAGGTAACCGTTCACGCCAGTCACAAGGACGAGGCCAGCCGGAGGAACGATAGGCATGCTGATGCTGATGCAGTAGTAAGTTGTTCTGAAATGGATGTTTGGACAGTAAAGATGGAGAACTAGTTGAAGCTTGGTGATATGCTTGGGTAGCCGAGTAGTGAGGTGAGGGTAAGTATTTGTAGGCGCTCGCAGTGTTGGGATAGTGAGAGGCATTTCGTGAGTGAATTATGCTCGCTAAGCGCGATATAGGATGCTAGTTGAACTCCGCAGGTCCTGTTGAGGCGTGCGGCGACTACCGCTAAGCGGACTTTGTGGATCTATAACTCCGCCAAATGAAACTTAAAAATATCTCTAACGGAGCTACAGTACCTCAGTCAATCACTCTTGGCAATTGCCAAAACAGGAGCAGGGGTGATACAACGCTCCAGCTGACGAGGCGGTTCCCGAGCTTCGTGATGAACTGAACTTTTTGTAGCCGAGGCTAAAGGAACAGTAAAAAGGGGGACGCTGTGGCTTGCCAAGTGCATACACATATACAGTCCATTGCGCCGATTATAAATCGCAGCAAACCGGAACGTTGGCGAAATCGTTAATAACTCCCCGATATAACCCGGCGCGGCTCAACCTCGAGGTGAGCCTCCAATTTAGGAAGGCTTGGTTGCGGGGTGGTAAGCGCCAGCTCCACTATTGATGACTGGCGTAAATAATAGGATCGAAAGGAGCTTCATGCGGCGACAGTAGCTCCACAGGAGCTCCACACATTGTCTCCACTGTAGTTCCGCCTTACGAATTGCAGCTTAATATGGATACAGGGCTGATGCTCGTTCAACCGTGCGCAGTGCTTGCTCTAGTCGTCACAACGGCAATCCCCGTATTTGATGCTACTAAGTGGCTTGTGTGCGTCAGACCGCGTACAGTATAGTAGCCTCCCAAACTTGCGGACGAATCCAGTCATGAATAGTCGTGTTTTGAACGTGACATGATATCGAAATTGGATAAGTTGGTTCGCATGCGAGCGGCGCACCTCTACCGGCCTTGCACTATAGACATGTACACAACACAATGAAATAATATTATAGAAGAGAATCTAATCGGAATTAAAAATGGTTACTGCTTCATTTTCAGATAGAGAACTATCACCGATTTTGCGGCATTTTCCGCAGCGCCGGCGTCGTGTTTCAACCAGCTTCCGTCGACTTGGATTTTCGTCTTCATCGCGTTCTCCTTTGGTTATAAAAGGGGTCTGGGAACTAACAATATACCAGAATCTATTTCTAATCAGACAAACAGCAGGAGCATTGCTAAGCCAACCAATAACACAAACCAGCACATGCACCATATCTTCATCGCGCCACCTCTCCCGCATGAGACACCAATGTGAGATGTAATTGTACAAGAAAACCGGCGAGTCGATACCCTAGTGGTTTGAGCTATGAACAGGCTCATGTCTATGTCGCTGAAACCGCGGCACCAACTCCACGACAACGTCGCTGATGTCGCCGCATATTACTTCGCACATTGAAAGCCTTACCGCAGCCAGTGCGTGGGCATTTGAACGGTCTCTCTCCGGTATGTGTATAGTTGTGGATGATCAGATAGCTTGGCCTACTAAATGCTTTCTGGCAGATTGGACAGATATGGCGGCTCCGATTTTGGAAGGGCTGAGTTATCTGAGATTGGCTCGGGAATTGGCTATGATGCATCCAACTGTTGGCGGAATTGGTGTCAGGCAATTCCGCCGTGGGGAGGATGTGAAGCTGACGCGCGCCGCAGTAGCCATTACGAGCTAGTTGCCACCACCGACGAGAATCGGGGTGGTAGCACTGATCATGTCGGAAGCCTGTAGCATAGAGCTTGGTGTGGTGAGGCAGCCGACGACTGCTGTGAGGCATTTCCGTGGGCTGCGAGGAGAGGTACCGTATTCCTGCTATGTGATGTGATTTAGGACCTACATAGCCGGCTTGAGCGGTGGGTAGCCCAGTTGTCAACGCATGAGAGACGTGCGTATTGCCGCCTTTGGATGGAGAGGCATCTGGCAGTCCCAAAAGGATGGAAATTGGTGGAAGAGAGCACCGACTTGTCTCCTTTGTCATGGTAAGAGGTGATAGTCAAAGGTGATGATCGTAAGAGAAGTCGTCGGTGGAACTTAGTTGAAGTGCGTCCGTGGCTTTAGTAGCTGTTACACGCGAAAGATATTGCAGGGCCATTGCCTGCGTAAGTTGGCGCTGTAACTATCAAGAGCGAATAGAATTGAGGAAATATGATACAGAATTGCAGCTTAAAACAGCGAAAGCTAGCTGAGACTAATTCCGGTGATTGGTGACGGCGAGGCTAGCAAGGTAGGAGTGTACAAAGGACGTTTGGGCCACTTTCAAATGTCAATGATGAGAGTATAAAATATGCTCAGGCGACACCGAAACCTGTTTATTAGTATAAAACCAGCGCTACTAGTGAATATGAATAGCTCCGCTGTGGGGCAGCCCGGTGTGGGTGTGCTTACCAAACTTGTTGCTGTGGCGTGCAACCGGGTGACGGGGTCAATCGATGGGTGATGGGAACGGTGTGTGATATGATGCATTTCTTGCGGTAATCAAGCTGATGAGCCGTCGCCCTGGTGGTACAGAGAAGAGTTGGGCAGCACTTCGTCAACCCCTCCTACCTGGTCACAAGTGACAGTAGGTGGCACATGCTTATTCCCCACTTGTCTAATGAGCCCAGACGACGTTTAGGTTCGATCAGGATAATAAGGAGCCGAAAGGAGTACATTGTGTTGGCTTGACATAGACTTCCAGCCATCACCACCAACGCTACAGTGCGTAGTAGCCAATATTCCTACGCTCACGGACCTTAGACGCAGGTGTGGATTACCCCAATAACTACACCTGGCAGTATCACGGATGCCACAAGTCGTAAGGGTCGTACCACCTTGACGGCCGAGGTCAACCTCTGCGGACCATGGAACGATTCCCACTAGCGAACCCCTCGAGGACTACCATGAAGATTTGTGGTTGCTTAGTTAGCTCGCCTCTGATGATTAGCGCCACCTGCCATTCGTAATCCCCTTCATTTGCCATCCAAAGTGGTTAGCGTGGGCCATACTTCAATCGCTGTCTGTTCGCAACATATATGAGCCAAACGACATCTACGTTCCGAAGTCATGAGAGAAGTTACCCATCTTTCACAAAGCTTCTACTGAATCAAGCGCCGCACTGATAGTCCATATTCGGATTTAACACTCTCGATATGATGCAACGTACTCTATTACTCTATCCACGGTCATCACTCTAGCAATTGCGGCTGGTGTCTCGGCACAAGCTTCCTTATTCAAGGGTAATGGATATGGAACCTACTATTATGACATCCAGCAGAGACAAGCTTGTGGCAATGACTTCAGCAAGCAGGATCGGGGCCCTGTCACCTGTAACTGGGCGGCCCCAAAAATCCTTGATGACATCAATAGCAACAATCTCGTGGCTATGAGTAATATCCCACTCCAGTCAGCCGAGGGCCGTGCCACGTACTGCGGTAAGAGTGTAATCGTCACTGTCAATGGGCAAGAGTCAGCCACGCCTTTCTTCATCGGTGATGGGTGCGAGCGCTGCGCTCATGGCTCGGATAATGTATGCGAGCCTAACGGCGCTGCCGGCCTAGACTTCAGCTACTCCGCTCTGAGTGATCTGTCGTCGGAGTCGCAGGCTTGTCTCGACGGGCATATTGAAATTAGCTACGAAATCATCAATGAGACCGTGTACAGCTTCGAGACTGGCTAGGGCTGTATTACAAGGGTGATTATGGAATAGTGGTGCAGCATAGGATAGCGCCGCTTATAAATGACAAGAACATCGCAAGGCTACTGCCATGTGACTTGAATTTCCACAGATATTTGCCTTCGTAGCCTATGTAGTTTCCACAGTAGCTACCCATGCTGATTATTCAACTGCTCTGATCGCTTGACATGCCTAGTAAGAATATTGCCTTAACGTGGCTGATAGCAAGCCACCTTCCTCACCCTACAATCAACATGACAAAAGATACAAACTAATCAGAATCTTCTTCCCCACGGGTGCGCACTTTATGTCCAAGCTGACCGCACGCACCACATCGTCGGCTACGTGTTTCGTCCCTTCGCTCACGACCACTGTCAGGCCACGTCTCGCCCTTCACTTGACTATCTACATCCATCTGTGCTGTTTCATCTCTTGTTTCTTGTATAGAAAGAGAGCTTCCAGCCCGTAGCCTAGTGTTCTTAGCTAAGTTAGCTTACTGGCGCTTGATAATCAACTCATTTGCCGCCTCAAGGCCACGCACCCGAGCGCGTAGAAACGCAACCTCGGCATAATGGCTGTCACACCCTTCTCAAAACTTTCAAGCTCATCAAGACTTTTCGTTTATGAGCTCTCTGGGCGATTCGTGATTCGCTTTTGAGATTTGAAGACTGCGAAACAAATTCAGTCGCAGGACTTGATGTCTTAGATACCCAAGATCCAGCTGATCTGGACGTGAGTTTGCAGGACTTGGCGTCTCAGCTTGAGATCCAGTGTAGAAATAACTCTTTCAGGGTCAATGGTGTAATACCAAGCGCTTCGAAAACGACCCTGGGTAATTTCCTTTGTCATTGAGTCATGAAAAGCCATATATAATGCAGGCAGGAAGTCCTCTCTGTAATGTGTGTAACACTGTATCTATTCAACTAACTAGGGCAGGCCTCACGTCGCAACAAGCCACTAGGTTCCGTTATATTCTCAGAACCAAATGCCGAATATGTTACTCTAGTTCTGCTCAAATTATCATTAGAGCCATGGGGTATTGCCTGGATAGAGTTGCGGGCCTCCAGCAGGGCCACTTTTACCCCACCAGACACCCCCTTGATTCCAGCAGTCCTTGTTTAGGGCACATACGTATCCGTCGCCGACTCCGTTTGCATTTGGCGACCAGATCACATACGGCGCATCAACTTTCGTACCATCCTGTACTTGTTGAAATCTCCAGTAGTAAGCGTATTTCTGGACCGTATAGGCCCTAACCGTGCTTTATTAGCAAGTTTCAGCAAGGTATTAGCTCTGCAACTTACGTGTGGGCTGTTCTGTACCATACGCAGATGGTGTCACCTGCACCTCCATTGCATGTGCCTGTTTGGCCAGTGGCAGTAGTCTGAGTCACAGCAAAACCAGCGTTGATCCACAATGCCGATATTCCACCACTGAATTGGACCGCGTAATATTTAGCATCCTGCCTAGAAATGCTACATCCTTCCTGCTCATCAGGCGCGCAGGTAATGGTTGACTGCGACGGATTAGCGTCTCCTACTCTGCACTTGATCGAAGAAGTCATACCGTAACTTGTGTGTACCTATACGCCTGGTGAGGATCACCGTCTCCAACCCTCGCGGTTCCAATGATTTGGTCATTGAGAGCACCATTTCCACCATCACGGCTGTTAAGAACGAACTGCTCGTGCAAATGAGTCCGGTTAGTCATGCCAGCGGCCATTGGTACGGCCGTAGGTACTGCCGTAGAACTGGTTGCCCAGAGTAAAAGGAGAGCAAGGGGCTTCATCGTTGAAAACGCTCCACTATGCGGATGAGAAGTGATTCGGTGAACCAGAAACGTGGTCACCTTGAGGTCCAGTATATATACGTGTAAGACGTGGCTGAACCCCGCACTATATTGCTAACTTTCTCCCTCCTCCGCATTGTTCCCCACGATCGGCATCAACATAGGTATAGTCTCTGGGGCGCTTGGTAAGCGCCAAACCTTCAGCATAGCTTACCACGAGCAGCTCACCAACCCCCACCTGTAGTCCTGGGATGTTATGGCTATGGACTTGTGTAGTCCCTGTATCATGAGAGTCATGATAACGTAGAGCTTAGATAGAAAGAAAACACAAGCCGGCATATATACTACCAAGTTATCAAACTGGTCTTGATAGTACTAATATGAAGCATAGGCTCTACTGACTACTAACACTCTAACTGTTGTGACTATTGTGACATTGGACGTATGTCACTTTACCAGATGAGTGAAGGAACAGTTAAGTCACTGGAAGTGGATAACATAGGAAAAGGAAGTGAATACAGGATGTATTCGCTGTATTTAACTAGAGCAGTTACGACCATAGAACTAGAAGAGAACAACGAACTTTTACCACAACCTCTCACCTTTCGATAACACGTGTTATTAAGCCTTGAACCAACAATATTATTCTCATATGGCCATATTTTAATTGTTTTCTTATCGCGTATTTTTACATTCCAGAGAAGTACATTTGACGCGCGTGGTGCATTCCTTAGTCTTCATCATAGTTAGAGAAGCTATAAGCTGTAACGGTCTTAACTGAGTGTATTAACAACTAGCTAAAAGACTACTACAAGTATTCAAAGATGATGAAGAAAGGTTCTAAAAAGGGGGTAATTCTAGCTGTGGGAATTGCCTCTTATACGACTTACATAGGTTCCTGGTCGAGATTCACCGAGACCCTCTCGGGCCTAGCCCGTTATATAAGCTAATAAATTCATAAAATACAATTAAGTAATCTAGGGTAGATTATTATTATTATTATTATTAGGCTAATAGAAGCTATCTAGCTTATCTAGCTCTAAACTATATATATTATAGGGGAAAAACAAAGAAAACCCCTATATTTGGGTTGGCCGCGGTGGGTCCATGCCGGTGTCGTGGAGGGTCCAGGCCGGAGACGACACTGGACCGGATAGTAGGAGACAAGAGTTAGTAATACAAGAAGAAAGCAAATAGACAAGTAAACAAAGTAATAGAGAATAAGTAAGGAGACACCGTGTAAACAAGATAGTTTACCCCTACTCTCACTACAGACCTGTGATATTAGTTAGCCGTTCCTCATCCAGGTCGACTATTATAGGCCTGGTACGCTGCTGTGAGGTAGCTGATTCGGCCCGTGTCTAGTAGCCATCGTGCTAATCGCGCGGCGCTATCGGGTGTGTCGAGGGCCCGGCGAACAGCCGCCTCGGTCGACAGCGACGGACGGTCGTAGAGTTCGCAGTGTAGGATTATATGGAACGTGGTCTCCCGCCCGGATCCGCAACGGCATAGGGGCGACGCCACGTCGGGTACACGCCGGCTGAATAGGAAGTCGTTTAGACCAATCTTTCCAGTCCTCATCTGCAGTACCAAGGAGGAGATGTGTTTCGGGGTGTTGCTGCCCCGGTAGGGCGCCGGCAGGCGGCCAGTGCGGAGCCGAGGCGGGAGCTCTGAGCAGTTCGACGGTCGGTGGCCTTGTGCGCTGCTCCGGCGGGAGAGCCGTGCAGACTCCTGGTGCAGCCAGTGCTGCTACCAGCGCTTATTCAGGTGCTTAGAGAGGGATTTGCGATCAGGGGCCGGTCAGGCCCCGAGAAGGTCGCGACCGTACTGACGGTGGTAGTCCTCGAGGGGACGACGGTAGTGCTGGCGACGAGGGAGCCGCTGGAGGCCCGCAACCGCGGCAGACGCAGCACGGACCCTAGCAAGGGTCCCGTTATTCATGAACCGCGCAAGGGAGCGTTCGCTGCGGTAGGTCATGTATAGATGAAGGGGAGGGATTTGAAGATCGGCCTCTAGGTAGTGCGCTGGAGTGGCCCGGAAGGCCCCAGCAAGGAGCCGGAGCATATCGTGCTGGGTACCACTCATAGTACGTGCAGGTCCTAGGGGGATATCACCAGGTTTGTGGAAGAGAACTGACCCATACGTGAGGATAGAGCGGTGGACCATTGTGTAGATAAGGCGAGCGTTCTCGAGCCGGGTCCCCCACGCCATCAGACCGGTGCCGCTCAGGGCCCCGGCAGCTCGGGCAGCGCGGGCCTTGGCTTCGCGTGCGTGGTGTTCCCACGTGAGCTTCCGATGGAAGTAGAACCCGAGGAAGCGCGCTGTTTCCGTAGGCGGCTGCGAAACAGGGCCGAGTCGGACGCTAGTAGTAAGAGGAGAGTGAGCGCGAGTGAAATGGGTGATAGTAGTCTTAGCCGCTGCGAAAGTAGCGCCGTGCGCGTCCGCCCAAGACGCGCAGCGAGTCCAAGCCTCCTCTAGCAAGCGGACGACGCCTGTGTGTGTAGAAGCGATAGCGACGATATTGCTATCATCGGAGAACCCGATAAGTTGGATACCAGGGATATTAGATAGATGGTGATATAAGGTTGAGATGTAAATGATAAAGAGGATAGGCGAGATGGGGGACCCCTGGGGGCTCCCGCATCGGAGTCGGAACGGACCCGTGGAGACCCCGTCGATAACAAGATGCGTCGAGCGATCATCGAGGAAGGAGCCGATAAGATTAAGCGCGGCCGGGTAGGCTCCGAGGTAGACGAGGATCTCAAGTAGGCACTAATGTGGCATAGCGTCGAAGGCACCTGCTATATCTAGCTGCATAAGCGAGATCGCTAGAGCGCGGCCCCATGCAGTCTGTATAAGTTCTTTAAGTAGGAAGGCAGCCGACTCCGTACCGCGCCCGCGCCGGTTCCCCATCTGGCCATCTGGGAGGGCACCAGCCGCCTCAGCCGAGAAGGCGAGCCGGTCAGCCATAATTTTCTCGAGGAGCTTGCCTATCGTGTTAAGAAGAGTAATCGGTCGCCATCCGCAAGCAGTGCGGAGAGCGGCTGAAGACCGGCCGGGTTTAGAGATAAAGACGGTGGCTCCAGCCCGGTACCGGTATGGATAGTATCCACCTTGGAGGCAGGCATTGAAAATAAAGGACAGGGTAGCCACTAATGGGTCACCGCACGCTTTCAAGAAGCCGTAAGGGATCCCGTCCGGGCCCGCGGCGTTCCACGACCGACACCGATTAAGAGTGGAACGCACTTCATCTTCATCAATAGGGTCAGCGAGGCCTTCGAGCGCACAACGTGGGCCCCGCCAGGGGCCCGAGGGCGGGAGGTTAGGAGCAGGGGGGAAGAACTTCGCGGCGAACACTGCTGCCTTCTCCTCGAT